CCTTATCTAAGATCTCTAACCATAATTTTGACAACATTAAATGTTTGTCATCATTTATATATACAGAGAGACAAAATGTATTATCCACCAGCTTCCCTCGTAAAACATCATCTAAAACAATGAGCCAGTCCACCCCTTAAGTGCGTGTTGTCATTATGGTCGATCGCAAGTCTCCACCTGCCAGACACATGTTGGTTATCCTTTGTTGTCAAATTGTCAATATCAAGTACACAAGTGAGTGATATGGGGTTGTCCATAAATGATGTCACATATGATTTGCTACGGGAGTGAGTGAAGATTTGTGACGTCAACTCAGGCGGCTTTGCAATTTATGACGTGTCGGTCTCATGAAAGGAGGTGAACGGGGAAAAATACCTAGGTGCTTGATGGAGAACCTCTATAATGCTTTGTTCAATCAAAATAACGATAAATAAGCATTAGTATACGTATACCTTGCTTAAAACGAATCATCACAAATGTTGCAAGCCTGCTAGTTTAAGACATTCGGCAAAACGGCCGCAACACATTATCCCCGTCAAAAAGGCTTGCCACCAAATGCCTGCCGACGAATAAGCCGCGTCTAATGCGGGGCGTTAGGAATACGGCCATTAGCATGGGCCGCGTTAGAGCACCAGTAGGCTATCGCGCTTTGTAAGATGACGTAAATACTTGAATTCAATTTCGCTAAACTGCGCGAAAATTTAGTAATGTTCCATCGTTTGAGGAAATTTATTTTCTTGGACTTAAATTGAAATATCATGTTGACTGTCTGGCTCTTAATTTCCGAATATCACTTTTAATGTATCAAGATTCAGAACTATAATTTACTTTAATATAAGTGTCATCTTATCGTTTATTGTGGTTTTTATAAAGCGCAGAGCAGCTACAAAATCGGGCGGCCATCCAGTTTTCACCAAGCTTCTTTTGGAGCTTAATATGGGTAGTCTAGTTCTATACGGTGTGAGCTTAATACATTTTTAAAGGGCCGAAAGTCTCAAGACAGCAAGCTTGCAGAAATAACTACGTACGTTTAAATGGACGAGTGATAGATGTGTTAGGGGCTGTTTAATGAACACCAACTTATGTAATCATATTAAACGTCGCAAAGGCGTCAAAAAGGCAGTTCTTGTTTTTTTTTCTATAAAATTAGCCCAACGGTCGGCGGTACCGCTACATGACGTCACGTGCGAGCGTTAACTCGGTGACGATCTGCTAAGTGGGGGAATGAAAAAGGTGGGGTTCAAGAAATGCGACTCGGCAAGCTTTTTACATTTCTTAACCCTTCTTAATAGTTCTTTCGTCCCCACTGAGAAAATGGATCACCAATGAATGACGCGTTATACTTCTACAGCTGGTCTTTCTCCCACAACCATCCCGTTTTCACGAAAAAAAAAAACCTGACCCGTCTCCAAAATCACATCGCTGAGTTCTACTCAACCTCTCCCCACCACAAATCACAATTTCTATCTGAAACAATATGTTCATATGTTTGCTCTGTAATAATGCACGCTGTCATTACTATCTTAAGAGCGACGTCATTTATGAGCGATCTAATATTGATTTGCTTACTGCAAATAAAGTGTTCAAAAGTTCGACCTCCCAACAATTGTTGTGGTCTTGGATGCACACTATTAAGTCTGATAAGGTCTTAGTCATTCATGTCAACTATATTAAAAAAAAAAGAAAAATTATTATACAGGGGGTCATCCATAAATGATGTCACGCTTTTTTTGACGATTTTTACCTCCCCCCCCCTCCCCTCCGTCACACGTCGTCACAAAAAGCCAGACCCCCTTCCCTAAAATGACGTCACACCTCAGCCTACAACCTCCCTCAAAATTGCAGTTGAATTGTTTTTAAACAGCTATATTTTTCCAAAATCTTGTCTGAACTCTGTCAAAATAGAGTATTTTAATCAATTGTTATTACGATGTATTAAAACAGTTTTTTAAAACGTAAAATAACGACTGTAATTCGTTTTGTAACATTGCTTTTTTAAAATGCAAAAGTGTGACGTCGCACCATCTGAACCCCTCCCCCTCATCACACAACGTCACAAAATTACGGACCCCCCTCCCCCCTACGAGTGTGACGTCATTTATGGACGACCCCCCCACCCCCCGGCATATATTAAAACAATACAAAACAATCATATTAAACCACAAAATCAACACAAAAGACATGCGAATAGACAATTTATTGTTTTTAAAACATGGCCGCTGCTTGTATTTACTCATTGTTGTCTCGAACGGGGTAGTTTAAAGTTTATTCCAGGATATTTATGACTGGTTTGGTCTTGGATTGTGATTTGTTATTCAATTATCTGTTATATTGTGTAAAATATGACATAAATATGGCCAAATGAAAGAAATATTCATTAGTTACCTTCATCGCACATTACTAGCTACGTTGGAATTTACGACGCTAAACTAAGATTTTACCACAAATGCGATAGCACAAAATAGATGTCAAATAAAAGGTAATGTAATGAGTGATGAAAGTTTAATCAATAATCATCAGACCTTCAAAACTAAATCAAAAGTTATCGAAAACAGGTGTACATATCGAGTCCTAGACAACCAGCTGATTTTCTGTTTTAATTTAAGTAGTAAACTGATATTTAGATCCAGAAACTAGATTTCTAGTCCTACAATTGATAGAAGTGTTTTGGACTTACTTTTGGTCTTTAATTCACTGAATTTAGTGCATAACAATTACCATCAAAGCGTCACTGTTTGTTAATAAATTTCATACGAGACACATCAAACTCTGTTTACAAATTTTTATAAACAAGTCCGGACAGATTTTTTGAACTGACAGCGTCCCGAAAAGTTTTCGCATTATTCATTTAAATTATTTTAAAAGTTACAAGGGACCTGGAAAAAATTGATTAGTAGCATAGACCTAAATGATTATCATTTTTAATCAAAGAAAACAATTTAATATACCACCAACACTATAAAATATAATCAAATAAATGGCTTAATAAGAATCCACGCATAAAGGGGATTCTAACTTATTAGTTTAATGTGACAATGAGCTGGATAATACTAGATTTTGTATTTCATTTAAGACTAGATCTATAAGGAAACAAATTAACAATAATGAAAAAACATGATCGTTTTGTTATAAATATTGAGTTTTGAGATGGTCTGATGTTTTGTTACGTCATTTTTTTGTGGGAGTGGGGTGTTTCTTTCAGGCATCCCTACACCTACTTGGATATAGAATACAAAGGTAATTTACACAGAAAGTATACTATAACCAATGTCCACCCTCTCCTCCCCCCCACCACCCCATTCCCTAGAAGTTTCAATCATCCACCGCCCATTCCCCAAATATAAAAATATTTGAAAGGAACCCTGAGGTCTATGGTTCCTAAATTGTTAAGACCTATACCAAAGATTTACCTAATATATGAGTGATGGTAAGAAAAGTAGTTGCCTTTCAAACCTGATGGTCTATGGGTTAAGTGACCTGCTTCTGTGACCTCAAATTATGAATCATGATAGTGGTCTATGGAATTGTTATATAACAATTAATTAACTGGCAGGTGGGTATACAAATGTCAGTTATCTGTGTTATGTAATATGTGCATGATCCATAATTTAATGGAATATCTTACAATGTTGAGCTGCTTGAACAATAAATAGTTTGCCTATTTTGACCAAACTTTTAATAGAAAAAATGCTCCACTTTAAATCATGATTGCTAAACAAAACAAAACAAAAGAATTAATTACTTGTCAACACATATCATGCACAATGTATGTCTTCTTGCTTAAAATACTGTCAGATACAGTAAATAGTCCCAGTGGCATAGCCAGGTCGGGTGTCACCCACCCAGAGGCGTAGCGACCCTTCCCTGGGACAAACTTTCAAATTTTCGATTTGCACCCCACCCCTCGAACTTTCGATTTGTACCCCCCTGTCAAGTTTTTCTCTATATATTTAGCTATTTTTTGCCTTGGTGTCACCCCCCTACATGGTGTCACCCGGTGCGGTCCGCACCCCCACCCCCTCGCTACGCCCCTGAATAGGCCTACACTTTGATGGCTATATAAAACTATACTTTATATTTTTTTAAATAATGTAGCTGTCTTTATTATTTATAAATCCCAAGCAAGCTTCTTCTTCTTCTTCTTCGTTCTTAATTATTAGTGTTGAAGGGGATCGAGATTTATCTGCCAGTGGGTTTGATTTGAACTCGAGACTTTAAGCAAGCTAATAACATCCAAACTCCCCTGCAACCTTTAAATTTTCTCATTGTACAAAAATTAAAATAGAAAATAAATAGAAATCATAAATTCCCTACTCCCCTTAAATAACCATAGTTATAATAAATATTTTTTTTTAAAGTATTTTTAATGCAGAAAAAAAGTTGCTATATTTAATTTCTTGAACACTGCTACTAATTACATTACATTTTTTTTCTTCTTGCACCCCCCCCCCCCCCCCCCCCCCCCTCAGAGGGCTACATCATTTACAGGCTATTCTCTCTATATATATATACCAATAAAAATGCCTGAAACATAAAACCAGTCAAAATGCCTTCAGACAATTAAAACAGTCCCTTTCTGGTATTTAACATTAACAATTTGGTTGCTTTCAGTTTATGTCATGACCAATTCATCCTATGTTAAACAATCTGTTTTCTGGCAAATACTAATCGTAGGGCAAAATACTGTAATAGAGCTATATACATTTTAAATGTGATACATTATATCTGATATTTAAAATTGTTTTAATATCCCAAGTCTAAAGGATTTTCACTAGTGAAAGCAAATTTAATTGTTATAGGAACAACTAGTCTATACTGCAAAATGAAGCAGCAAAGAAACCTTGGTACAGACTTACCAATCCATCAGGAAATAAAGGAAACCTCAGAATTTAATCAGCTTGTTTGGTTAAAATTATATCAGATGCAACACTCACTTTATTACATGCTGCTTCACTTTCAATAATCATGCAAATTCACCATACCATTAAAAAAACCATAAAGAATATTTACATTAGTTTATTCAATCCAAATTATTAAAGTGTAATATAACAAATTCATGCACCCTTAACAGTTAACTCTATTGGTACTTATATTTTTTTCTGATAGGGCTGTATCTTATCAAAGTAATTTTTACTGATATTGTAGGCCTGACCCTACCAAAAGGCGATACCCAGAAGAAAAAAAAAACTTAATGGTAATGTACAGAACTATCAGAAAATGTAGAAGTACAGGTACATTCAAAATCACTTGTAAATAACTTTATATACACTCATGAATTAGATTAAAAAATTATTTTGAACTCAGATTTGCATAGCTTTTATGATGTTACTGTAGATGAGTAAGTATATGCTGTTACGATGTGGACAGGGTCAAAGGACAACTTGAAGGACAATATACGACGATCCAATACCTATTAAAGCAGGACAGCGTTGATTCATTTAATCTTTTATTGTGCTGTCTAGATACTCAACAGACATAGTCGACCACTTTGACATTTCAAACGAAGACCACACCCTAACCCGACATGATGGAGACTGATTTCAACTCTTTTCCCTAACAACAAAAACATACTCTCCCATGTCACATCCTTATGTGCCTCGTCACATTCAAAACCTTTTACAAATATAACACATTCCACTACACACATACCCATTCAGTACACTAAAATACCATTCACAACATATACACACAAAAATAATGATTTCTTTTTAAAAAGGGAATGACAGCAACATTAAAAATAAACAGAACTAAAAATAATTTTTTGAATGTCATGGGAAGAAGAAAGTTAGTAATACATTAGAGTGTTATCTAAAAAAACAGATTTTCATAGTATACACTCAGTATTCAAAGTATTACTTGTCATGAAGCTATTTTCATTTACTTTTTATTTTACATCAGATAAATGGGCATGGTATAAAAATAGAACATTTTAAACTTTTAGCAATTTCCCTTGCAATGATACACATAAAATAATGAATAAAAATATGATGCAATAAAATAACATTCACCTGGTAGGTTTGATTCTTATAATAATGGTAAAGTCCCATAAATCTTAAATAATTTTATATAGGCCCTATTTATAAAAATTAAATATTTAAAATACAAGCCCAATTTTCATTTTCATAATGTTTTTAACTATTATGCTCTTTGTAACTAACATGGACAAAGGTCTATCTGGAGTATGAGACTACAAATGAAAAAATGATAATACTTTAGATTAGAATTAGAAGCTTAAAAGTTAAGTTTTAATAAATCACTTAATTATTGTTCTTGTCTCAATGAAAAAAATTAATGATGAAATCTAATACAAATGAATAGTGTTACACTGAATTTTGACTTTAAAATTTGTAAACAAACTAAAACTTCTTTAAAACTAGTCAATGTAAATCAAAATGTGTAATGTTAAATGACATGACATGACTTTAGGAAATGGTTGTAATTTAAATGAACAATCCCTTACATGTAAGGCCTATTGGTAATGACAGAGATGTTAAAAAGTGTGAATTTAACACAATATCACAGCAGTATAATTAAAACCTCCAAAAATTGTTTTAAAATAGTTTAATTGACCCCATCCCTTCTCCCAAAGTAAAGGGAATGTGAAATAATATGGATCCAGATAATTGTGAAGGCTACTTTTACAAGTTATCTGTATTTGCTAGCAATATTGTACACAAAGGGTTATTTCCATGCCAAAGGTAGACATACAGTTGGTGGGCTTGAATTCCTTCTGTTATACAGTGTTTTTTTTATTCTATCAACCTTTTTTGTCCAATATTGCTATTTCAGTAATAATACTAGCTTCAAACACCTCTACTTATATTTGTTTTATAAGTTTTCAAGTATCTTTAGCTGCCATAGAAAAAAAAGGAAGAAAAATGTATGACTTTTTTGTCAGGATATAAAAAAAAACAGACTAATGACTGATGTCTAATATTACAATTGCAAATGCATTTTAACATGATAATATAAAGCAGGAATTTCCATACATTTAATCTAGATCTGCTCTGTTAAAAAAAAAATTATTAATTTACAACTATGCTTTAACTAACTCAGTGTCCATCCCAAACTTTGGTTTGGACTTTAAAAAAATGAATAGAATACAAATATAACAAAAATGAATTTAAAAATGTTATAGATTAATACAAAATAAAGTGTAATTATTTTTTGAATGAGGCTCAATGAACTAGAAACAAAATTATTGCAAAAATAAAATTTTAAGCAGCTAACGAGGTAGTCTATTTTAAAGATCTCAGTAATTTATAAAATTTTACTTAAAATTGATAAAATCAAGTTACCTTTACAAGAACTATATTTTTATTAACATACTAACCCTGTCTAACAAATACTTAAATAACAATAATGAAAACTGTCTAAACCAGAGTGTAAAAAAATGGTATCTAAAAGCAACCGTTTAAAAAATAAGCAATCAGTACATTTAAATACAATAGATGCCAATATAACATAACAAATAGGCAAATCTTTTAATATTGTAAGGAAAACATGGCAAATGACAAATCGTCACGGTCATAACACATTCGCCTAAGACATTTTTTGGGGGTTTTGAGTTAATAGTTGAAAAATTCAATGTTTACACATTATTATATTATATGGCAAATCGCCTAAGTCATGAGCCAATCAGAAAACTGGTGTTTTCTTTAATTGTACCAAAGTGACATAGTGGAAGTAATACTAAATTTGTTCAGTTTTTTCAGGTTTTCTCAACACATGAAAACATGACTTGGGCGAATGTGTTATGACCTTGACGAAATTAAATCTAAAAAAACAAAATATGCCAATAAGACTAGATATTTATATCTAAGTTTTTTTACTTCTGCTCTTCAGGTAGATTTAATCTAACAGAAAAGTCTTTCATAAGGTGAAAAAAATCTTGAGAAGACATTTTTTTAAATGGTTGTGCTGAATGACAAGGCATTAAATTTAAATGTAATTTTAATACTAGTATTTGGATACTAGAGTTTAATAAAAATCATTAAATACTAGCAAGGTGAATCTTAAACAACCACATGGTAATCACTTGAGATAAGTTGTAACATAACAGCACATTGTTTTTTTTTTTTACACATTTTGGTTTTAAATACCGAGATAAAAATAATTGTATACATACTCAATCAATTGTTATGAATTATTGTTACATTGTCTTTCAGCGAGTACATTTAAAGAAGGCTTTGAGATTATAAACAACAAACAACATGGATATACATTTTTTTCAGCTTAGAAAAAAAAGATTTTAAAATATTTCCAGCTTAAAAAAATGTATATCTTTTTGAGGTTAAATTACTGTCAGGATAATTCTATAAATCTGTTTCACCTGAACTCTTCAGTTTACTGTGAAGGCAGCCCAATGAGCTTTGATGCACCTGAATTATCTATCACGCTTTTATTTCCACACAGTACCAGTAGTCTACTGTAAACAAGTTGTAGAGAACTAAAGGGAAGCTCTGATTGTTACACATTTTTTTGAATCTTGGTTAGAAATTATGGGCAATGTAAATAGTTAAAACAAATTAAAATGGTCCTTATAATGTATTTAGATTTGATTAAAACGTAAAAATGGTAATATCAAAAAAAGGAATTGGTTTCAGTGACATTTGAATGTTTTAAGCATTTCAATTTCAAACTTAGTATTAAAATATCAAATGTGGGTAGACATTTCTGGGTTTTAAATTATTTTAATTTATAATTTTGAAATATATCTAGGCTATATAGAATTAAACATAATAAACTGAAAGTATTTTCCAATAAATTTGTTATTGCTTTAGTTTTATGTGCTCTGATTTCACTCAACCATATTGGAAGTAAAAATGTTTTAATGCCCTAAAGTTATTAGTTGGTAAAATAAGTTACTGTAAGAAAAAAATTTGGAATTTTTTGGCTCAATAGAATGCTTTTAAAAGAAGAATTTTATGTAAATATTAGTCTCAAAATAATATGTGTTTAAAAAAAGAATATAAAATATATAACATTAAGAACAATTTTGGCTTAGTAGAATATGTTATTGTTAGAACTTTTTTCAAATTGTCTAGACTAAAAGTTAACTGCTCTATTCATTCCTGAGGTTGAATCAGCTGATAGTTCATATCTGTTGGAATACCTTCTTGTGGCTGATTCACTTCAGATGACCTAGAAAATGTTTTATTGAAAACAATTTATCGATAATTATGTTCTTATCTGTGATAGGTATGAAGTGTGATATAGAAGTAGCTTAAAAATCTACCTTAGTTCATGAGAATGATAGGTAGCTAATGTGAGTTAATGAAAACAAAAATTACAAGAAACTTTCCACAATTTCTTGATCTTGCTAACCCCCATACAGGGTCAACGTCCTCACCCCTACTATCAAAGTAAGATGAGTCAAAGAGGTACAAAAAATGAACTTACACAACTCTGAATTTAACATGGTCACAATCAGTCAGATATTTAGCATAGTGGCACATGTGATCACCATCAATCATCTTCAATTCTCCTTCTCTGCTGCGATCAATGATCATCTCATACTTGTCAAATGTCGCTTTAGAATAGCCATTCTGTTTTAGGATCATATGCTTTACCTGTGTTAAAATTTTAAAACTTTTCATTACTCATTTTATGCACTAACTAGCATGCCCGTCCTGCTCGTTGCTGCGGTGTTAAAAAAAGTCCCACCTTTACTGTCCAAAGATACTCCTGGGCAAATCCTACCCTGCCAGAGCACGGTCAGACGCGCCTGATTCAGTTAAGTAAACGGCTATAATACTACTTCTTATCCATATTCTATCATAATCTTTAAAACAAACATATGTGTCATAGCAGTACCAGTAGAGCCCAACGCGCCAAATTGCAACCTGTTGGGCGCAGGCAAATTTTTTTTTCCCCGCAGAAACCTCCCCAGGAGTATTCTCAACAACCTCCCAAACTTTCATGCCGATCAGATGAAAGGTGTAGTGATGCATAAAAGACAGACAAACACACACATTGCTTTATATATATAAATAAACTTTTTTCAATATTTTCTTCACTAGATATCATGTAGTGATTTTGTTTATAATTGTACACCGAACTGTTTTTGAAATATTTTTGCTGAATTCCTTTGTGCCAGTATTCGTAATATTATTATAGAAAGGATCTACTTTTATTCTACCAGTTATGCTGTGATAAAGTAAGAATAAATTCATTCTATCTAAGCTATTTTTACTGTAATTATTTCTGTAAAAGATGAATGTAAAAATAAAGTATTTTGTTAAATTAATTTATTTTGATTTGAGAAAAAAGCAATCCCTACGATTATAATCCATCAATATATCAAAATTGTGGACTACACAGATTTAAATTAACTAAACTTAATTGGAAATAACAGTAGATGGTTACTTCCAAATTTGCATTTTAAAAGCAATTTAGTAAAAAAAATATGCATTAACTTGTCACAGAGGTCATTTAGCTATAATAGTAAAAATAACAGTGTTGGTTGCATATGTATTCAGAGGATTTTTAGAACACCTAAAACTATAACTTGCATATCTATATCTAAAGAATATTAAAAGATTATTCTCACTGTCAGTGCATTTAAAAGCTTATTAAAAAGGATTCAAATTTTGCTTTATAATTAGTTGGATTAGTATTTTCAAACTGTCTGTAGATCTTTATTTTTTTTCATTTCTGGATTTTTAAGCAACAAAAAATGATTAATAATTATATTAATTGTAGAATTTTGATCTGTTTTCTGTCATGATCTTATTTTTATTGAACAATCTGTTTCATGTATTTCACGTGATTGTCATTGTTTGTATATGGTTGTGTATGCACACTAAACAAACTTACATCTCTAACAAGTACTGGGCCTGCTGCTATTCTTTTCTCCCGAGGTGTATTACCTTCAGATGGAGGAATCGAAAGATTTGTTTCTATGATAGTTCCATTAGGTAAGACAACTTTAACAGTGATATCTTCACTCTGACATTCTGAAACAAAAGCCAAAGTTGTAAGAAAACAATAATATGTTTAAAAAACAAGATATTTCCAATATTACTATATATATAATTTGAGCAACACCCAAATCCATGTATTTAAAATTATTGTAATGAATAGAATAGGCCTATATATTAGTCTATAGTAGATCTAGACAAGACAGGAAGCTTCTAATTATAGGCATACATATATTTTTTAAACAGATTTTTGTTTTATTCCATATAGTGATAATTTTTTAGATTTATTTCAAGAGCTGAGTGGCAGAATCAAGAGTACAGCAGTTATAAAGTACGTTTCAGGTTCATAAACAATGATTTTTTGGTGTTGTTTATAGTGCTGATGGCTTTAATAATTAAATATAATAATTAATGCATTAAATCTTAGTTAGGGTTAGGGATTATTAGGGAAAAGGTGAGCACTACGACGCATACACTTGTTTTATTGAGCGCCATGCCCTATGTATACGGAGGGCTACTATAATCAATGGCTAAAGAAAATAAGGGGTGTCTTCCACCCGCCTCGGTAGTATAAAGTTTGGCCCCCCAAGTCTCTCCATTTTGATGATGTTATGAAACAAGTTGTAGATATGCCTTTTAAATCAGTAACTTAGCCATCCTAAGAATAGAACATAAAGAAGCAGCTAAATTGGACCTCAAGGAACATATTAATCACTTTGCAAACTTATCAGAAAGAAAAAAACAAATCTAAATAAATCATGAGCAACTTTTTAAAATTAGCATTTGGTTAGTGGCCTCACAAAGCTCAATATCACCGAGTGTGTTTAGTGAGTGTCACCCCCACCCGGTCTAACAATTTTGCATTTCCGATGGAGTGTTACAGCTTCTTAATATTGTGTTATTTTAACTGAATAAAACATAGTTTTGAAAGTAAATTTTACGGTTTTCGTCATGGTTTCACGCCTAAATTGTGAGGCCCCCGCCTCGTGAAGCTACTGTGTTAGGTTACTTAAAGGTTATAGTACAGACCTACAGTTAATTTGTTTTTTTTTTCATAAAAAGTATGGGGTACTACATAATAATACCGTATAAATACACAATTATGGACTTTAAAAATGCACAATTTACAGATTAACGGACCAGGTAGGGGCCCAATAATAATTTTTGCATAGGGGCCCAAAAATCCTAGCTAGTAGATCTAGTAGTAGCTACGCCACTGCTATGGAGACCCGAGTCCGGGGCTCTTAGCCTTAGCTGCCTTAGGACCAGGGTCCGAGAATACTAGAATAATAAGAATAACGAATCAAATAGCCACTACCAAAAACAAAAGTCAACTGTCAACCGCTTACCAAATGCGAACCCGTCAGCCTGAGCCATAATTTATTAATTTTTTTTTAAATTTTAGGCGTATTCCTTGAATAAAAACATTAGGCTAAAAAAGTTAAAAGCCCAGTATGAAATGAAATAGAAAAAAAAAAGGTAATCTATCGTTTTGGGTACGTAAAATCGCCCGCGATTTGTAATGTGAAAAACAGGTGACTCCTTAAATTTTAATAATTATTTCACATTTTGGGGAGGATTTATGTTTTAAAAATTTCAAAAATGTTTCCTTGATTCATTTATGTACCTGTTTTTAAACAATTGAATTAAAACTTTTCAGTAATAAATGAAGACTAGCGATGTTTCCAACAGATGCAACCATGCCCATTTACTATAGCAGCCATCTTGTCTAAGTTTTATTTTTATAAGCTTTTAGCGCCAGATTCAGGGGGAAGCCACTCTATTTTACAAATGGCTGCTGTTTATATAGTAGGCCTATATAATAGCAAATCTTGCTCTCAGACACTGCTGTTTAAAGTTAATTTCTGGCCTATATCGATATATTTAGCCATTGATTTAGGTTTATTATTCATTTATCTGTAATATTTGACACAAATATATGACAACATACTTCTATTAAAGCCTTGACAATGAGGTAACGTTTTCGTACATAAATAGCCGCGGGCGATTTTACGTACCCAAAACGATAGATTACCAAAAAAAAGCCCTACTAGACTCTAGATATAGAATTTTGACAGATCTAGAATCTAGATAGAGATCTAGAGATCTAGATCTAACTTGTTTGTAGGCTAAGTATGATAATATTATTAGCCAATATTAGGCCCTACTGTTGTAGATTTTAAATTTATTTAGACTTAAGTAATTAAGTTAGATCTAGCTAGACTAGTAACTATATAATATAAGGCCAGAAAAAATTATGTTATTCAAGAAGAAGGTAGGCTTAATATTTAAATTAAAAAAGAAACACTGGTTATTAGAAGTTATATGTGCCTAGGCCATATTTAAATTAAATAGGCCCCTATTAAAACAATGGTTCTAATAAAATAAAATTGTTCCCAAAAGACTCTTCATTTACTACACGGCTCAGATTAGGCATACTGAAGAAAAAATCTTCAGAAGTGAGTTACGCATCTAAATCTCTTGAGGACACTCACTTAATTATTGCAACGTGTATCAAGCAATGAGCAAGTATGTGCGAATGCTTTAAATTGAAGAAATAAACAAATTTTGGGCATTTATTTTATACATGGGGCATCTTCAGTAATATTTTGGCGATCCATTACAAATTATAATTATCTTTAGAGGTAAGACTTCAAAGTAAAAAAAACATTACAATGTGGCAACTATAACTAAGGGTACCTGTGAGCTAAAAATAAAAAAAAAGTGATAATTATAAATAGATTTCCGGGAAAATGGTTCATTGGAAAAAAGAAAAGATAGATCTAGTTCCTAGTCTTAGAAGCTAAAAAAAAAAAGATTTAAAATAAAAGTTTGGTTAAACTTTTAAGTAATTAGATCTAGATCTAGTTAGATCTATATAGTAATATAGATCTGTATTATTTGAGATTGATAAGTTGTATTATTTAGGCCTAGTTAGTTAGTATAATAAAAGGTCTAACTCTAAGCCAAATTTACTAATTTAATTTATTCATAATAAATTTATTAAATATTAAATAAATAATTATAGGCCTATAGGCCTAATTATTAATTAATATAAATATAAATAGATCTAGTATAAATAGGCCTATCTAATTAAGTATCTATAGTCCCTATAGGCCTATGCCTATAGGCCTACTATTATTATTAAATATTATTATTATTTAGGTTTCCAGGTTTTTCACTTTCATAATTTAACATTCACCTTTTCAGCCTGCCGGTCCATGGGGCAAGTGAAGTAGAGTTCACCTGTTTCTGTGACCTCTGCATATGTCTCATATGAAGGGATATTGTGGTCAGCACTATGCCCAGCCACCTTTACTTTCCCTAATGTTTATGGTTTTGTTTGGTTAAGTATTTTATTAAAGTTTTAGTATGATGCATATATTTTAAATTGTCAAAATGCAATAATTTTAATTATTTTCTATCTTATCAAGGAATCACTAAAAGGCTATAAAAAATAAGAAAATCCAGAAATGGAAGATCTACAAAAAGAGAAAGAACTTAAAAAAATACATTGCAGCAAAAATCCCGGACATACGAAATTTATACCCATAAATGATTTCAAAGTGAAAAACTTACCAGAGCAATTCAGGACTTCAGAAAATTATGATTTCATTATATTGTTAGCACAACTGACAGTCAGATTGTCATTGAATTTGGTGACTGGAAACAGACCTGATGGTTATTTTTTATCTCAAATGAGAAACAAAAAAGCATCACGGACTGGGACTGGTCAAATACAAAAAGTAAGGATGGATCCTGACACACTTAAGTGTCACTGCCGTGAATGTAAAACTCAGACTTTTAAAAATAGTTGGATTATATCTATACAAACAGCTGCACATTTGATTTTTGATACCACTGAAGCAGAGGATACCAGGGTTGATGTTTTTTATGACGATGAAGAAAAGAGAGAGAATATTAAAATCTTGTATGGGTTGAGTATTAAAAATCAAAATACTGAAAATGATACCTGTATCCTAGAATGTGTAACCCATGATCAGGAACTTGGACACCAAATAACAGAACTTGTAGATCAGTTTTTAAAAATGGAGAAACAGGTATCACATTCACTCTCTGAGAAATATGATTCAGCACCGCTAAATTTTATTATTTCACACTTACATGAAAGTTCAGATCCCAAAAGTCTTGGATTTTTAATGCAGAACTTTAACCCCCTCATACTGGATAATTCCGATCAGTCATCTTTTGAGGCCAATTTGGAAAATATCGAAGTTGAAGTTCACTTTCCAGATGGAGAGAATTCGAAAAAAAAAATTTGGATGTTTGATAAACAAGTACTAGAGGTAACTAAAAATAGAGCATGTTATTTTCTTTAAATTTTTTTTCCCTAATAAATAAATTGACCTTATGTTTTGAATTTCATATTAAGCAACAAACTATAAAAGCTTATATATTAGGGTCACATCATTCATTAACTTGCCATTGCTATGGAAATAGAATGAACTCCTAATTCAGAAACTTTATATATATTTTCATTTGTTTAAAGATCTACTAGAGTTTGCTTTATCCCCAATGTAAATAATAGTATTTTTAATTTGATAAATATTATTTTATATGATTTATTAATGTTATAATTATCAATTTTCAGACAAAAGACTTTTTATTCCATGAAGGTGGATTAAACCTTTATCAATCGGTTGATTGGCAGATGGTCATTATTAAATCATGTGGTGGGAAAATTATTATGGATGACAAGAAAAATACAAAAGATTATCTTAATGACCTGGTTGAGGCAAAATACATTACATTTATAAAAAATGATAATTTGCCAGGTTTAATTGAGAATGTTACCTTAAAAAATTAAATTAGTAGCCTACTTCATTATTCAAATTATTTTATATTTAAAAATTTTACTCAGCTGTTAATACATTTTTTTCTAGTTCTAATTGGAGTTTTTCACCCTTTATAAAAGTAAATATGGTTATATTAAGTATTACATTAAATCTTTTACAGTTATCAACAATACTCTATTAAATTTGTAGTTGTTGTGAAAGCATAAGTCAGGTTTTAATACTTATATCCATTTATAAATGATTGGAAAATTTATTAGATTAAAGTGTAAAAACAAACTATTCAATTGTTGTAATTCACATAATTTTTATTATATTTAAAGTGGGTTTTTTTTTTTTTTTTGAAGGGCCATTTTTTTTTAATTTTAAAATAATATTTCAAACTGCAGATAGTGAAATAAAATTATTTGAGATTTTTACTTGGCAGGCTATATATTTATATTTCTAAGCTTGGAACAGAGTGACAAAATGCTCACTGTAAAAGTTCACAAATATTTTCAATCATTAAAATATAATAATTGCCTTATTATCAGAACAAACTGGAATGTTGTATAATGGAAAGCTTTATTTGGATTTTGTTAGTTCCAACAGTTTTTTTCTAACAAATAAAAACATTAGATTTAAGTTTGTTTTGCTGGGTTTTTTTTTACTGTTTCTTTGTTAAAATAGGCTGTTGTTTTATTTTTATTGATGTTTTTTAAGTAGACATTTTCTAAGTAGGCCTATTTAGGTACTTTGATCTTCATGCTCATCACAGAGATATCAAATATGCTATTAGGAAATTTAAAAAAAAACTAACTTAAAAAAATTAACTTTAAATATACAATTGTTAAAATAGTAACTCAAGGAAAAAAAACAACAACTAAAAACCCACTTACATGAAATAATTTTTATTTTATGTAAACCTAATTCAATGTTAAGTTTGAAGACCTTTTTTCTGCACTGATGTACTAACACATTCACAAATATTATTAAGTAAGAAAATAAGATTCTACTACTTGAAGTTTCATTTTTTTTTTTTTTTATTCATCAGCTTAGTACTTTTACTTTACTCTTAACATACCATATGTATTTTTTTTTCTTATAGTAAAATAACAGTAAAAAAAGACAAAAACACAATTTTTTAAATTTTATTTACATGGCTATGACTTTGTGGAAGTTACCACAAAAATGTTTCATTCCAAAGATAAAACAAAGGGTTAAATTAACAAATTAAACCAAATGGACATTTTAATAACAATTTTAAAATGATTAGTCGCATTTTTCTCCAGCAAACAAAACCTATCAAAAAACATTTAGTAATACTATACTGTGAGGTTGCTTTGGTTTTAAAAATATTTAATTTAAATGCTATGCTATGCTAATACAGATAACAATAGAATTATTAAGGGCTGAAATAAAAATTGTCACAAGTTGTTTCTACATCTATTACAAATAATTAATAGACCTTGCCAACTGCATATGGATGAAAACAACAACAAAAATTGTGTTCAAACTTTAAAAAATAAAAATATCAGAGATCTTTAATAAATGATGTCACAATGTTAATGGTTGTGCTGAGACAAATCATATGAGACATATGGAAAAAAGTTATGAAAACAAAATGTTATTTTCGTTTTATTGCGTATTTTTAAAGGGAGTGGGGAAGTTACTTTGTAATATTTACAGATCTAGGCGTGTATGTCTTTGTGTGACGACAAAAAAAGAATAAATGTTTGCTGAATTTGCATGACATTTATGAGTAAAAAAACGAACACCCCATCCCAACAACATAGATTTTAACACCATGTTTACACTTGCGACATGTATACTATACATATCTAGGGTGAGAAAAACTCGCATCTTGTTAATTTAATATGAAATTTTTTTTTTCACGCAACATGTCGAATCTAGGCCTATACTTAATTGATGCGAGTTTTTTTTTCTTTCTAGACCTGCACAATATACATGTCGCAAGTGTAAACGCGGTATAATTAAATTAAATGAGACATTTTTGTTTATTATTCAAATCAATTATGTGGCTCCAAATCATCATTTCGTAATTCAACTTTTAGGCACGTTTGCAGATTTGAATGATATTCACTTAGTAATTGGTTGTCATTCATCGGTGTGATGCCGTTGTCTGAAACAGAATTTTTTGAAGCATTGTTAAAAAAATTAATTGAACTTATCAAATTTAATGTTGGAACATGTTGATAAAATGTTTTGTTTACTTAGTGGTCATCGCTAAATGATATCACGCTTGTTTTTATTAAAATTCTCCTTCCCCATCGTCCCACAACATCAGACCCCACCACCCTTCACCCCTAAAGTGACGTCTCAAAACATTGATTTCTTTCTAAAATATTTAAGGAGCTCGGTTAAAATTGAGTAGATTGATCAATTTCTATTACAATTTACAGAAACAGTTACTTAAGGTAAAAGGGGAGACAGCGACTAAAATTCAGTTTTTAACACAAATTTTTTAAAATGCCAAAGTGAGTGAGCATAACTTCTTCCTATTCCTCCCTTATGATGTCATTTTAAGACTGTTGGGTGGAGGGAAGTAAAAATGACCCCTTTATAAAAACATCCAGCTTGTGGCCATACAAATGTACCTCACTCATTCACAATTTGATGTTTAATTAACAAAACAAGCGCTATTTTTATTTACCTGAGTGCAAAAATAATGACCTATTCCTCCCTTATGATGTCATTTTAGGAATGTTGGGTGGAGGGAAGTAAAAATGAACCCTTTTATAAACACATCCAGCTTGTGGCCATACAAATGTACCTCACTGCATTCACAATTTGATGTTAATTAACAAAACAAGCGCTATTTTTATTTACCTGAGTGCAAAAATAATGACCAAGTATTTGATGTGCTGCTGACTTCAAATGCCTCTATTAGCTTGGTCTTCAGCTGAAATAATATTCAAAAGTATATTGTAACATAATTCTGAAAGCCATACTCAAAATATATATAGAACTTATACATTATAAAATAATAACATTTATTTTATTTTAACTGTAACAACAGTTACAGCCTGCTCTTGTCCATGTGTAGCGTTTGATTATGCACAGCAATTGTGCATAATATATATATATATATATATATATGTATATATATATATATATATATATATATATATATATATATATATATATATATATATATATATAAAATGGGGTGGTGGCAGCGAAATAAAGATTCACCCCAGACTCGGGATGGGTTGCTATGCCTCTGACTAAAGGCCCCCTGTATTTAACTCTGTATGTCCCTTGTAATAAATATGAAAAGCCGTGGGAAATACAGTTACTGTTTTTAACAAGACTTACCATAACGACTTTCTCCGAAAAAAGTTCTTCAGTAAAAACCATTATCCCCTCCTCATTATTGAGGGAAACTTTGACCTCAACACCAACCGGCGCGGCTTCTGTAAATAGAAAATCGAATAGAAATATGATTACATATGCAGAAAAACAATAAACAGTCTCCGCCTTTTCGAGTGGAGTGCTTCATCAGACAGAGACACACCAAGAACCTGACATAGGCCTATATGTAACAATAGTCGGCAAACTATCTAAAAAGCACTAGATATTGAAGATCGTGTTGTAAACAACCTGTACCCACTATCAGTATCAACATCTTCATCTTCTTCTTCGTTCTTAATTTTTTAGTGTTGGGAGGGATCGAGCCTTATCTGCCAGAGGGTTTGAACTCGAGACTTTTTTTTTTAGAATTTATCAACCATGAGCTTTGCCGACTCGACCATGCTTCCATCACAAGGATTACGTGTCAACTGGTTATGCGCCATTGAGGCCATTGACTCCGATTTCAGCCTGCTTTTCTTTTTGGATTTGCTTCCATAGCCTTTGTCCAACCAAGAACAAACTACAAGGCAGCGGTTGTTTAATTTTGGAGTTGTATCTCCTAGAAGAGTGGCTGTCCCCAGCTAACGAGCCTCATCTGCCCGAGGGTTCGAACTCGAGACTTTTCGCTTTACCGACTCGACCACGCCGACCCCGTTATCGTCATCTGATTTTCCATAATTTCATCGCCGGTATGAATTCTCATTTTCAGAAAGATATACAGACAGCTTTCAACTTAGAAGAGATCAGAGGCGTAAGTGAGGGTGGGGCGCTGGTGCGGGCCGTATCGGATGACACAATTTTTGGAGGGGGGGTGTGAAGCCAATAAATTACAAAATGTACGGAAGAAAAAAAATGGGACGAAGTGGTCTAGCGGTAGAGAGCTGGACTGCTAACCCGTAAGTCTCGAGTTCGAATCCGGATTCAAGTCAGTAGACGGTCTTTGAGTCCACCCAACTCTGATGGGTACCCGACCACACTATATCTTCATATGCCGAGGTCACAGAAACCAGTGAACTCTACTTCACTTGACCTAGACCGTCAGGTTTGAAAGGGAAACTTTACTTTTACTTTTTACGGAAGAAAATAGTTTTTTTTTGTTTTGTCAGTTACATTAATAATTAATTAATCTTAAATAGTCTTTGAAGTACAAATTAACAATTATAATAAAGGAGTGGGGGTGACACTATGACGAAAACGCGCTAACTATAGAGAAGACAATGCTGCATTCAACTATCTTTTAACAGATTATAGATAAACATCGTTACTATTATGTCTGCAGTGATTAAAGCTTTATTATACACATACATGTATGTGGTATATATTTAAACTATAGGTCTATGTAGGCTCACACACACACATAAATGTAAACACACACACACACACACACACATATATATATATATATATATATATATATATATATATATATATATATATATATATATATATATATTGAGGGGGGTAGACATTGTAGCAAAATGAAAACTGGAATTGCGGCAACCGTTTTAATTAAGAGAATTATTGTTCTAATAAGAGTTTCGATAATTTAGTCATCGACACAGCATAAAATTGCCCACGAAAATACAGCTGGTGTCAGTGATCGGAGCTTTTAGTATTAACACCAGAGGCGTAGCGACCCTTCCCGGCGCCTGGGGACAAACGATTTGCACCCCCCCCCCCTTCAAACCTCAAACTTTTCGATTTGCACCCCCCCCCACTGGAACATTTGATTTACAACCCCCCTCCTCAAACTTTCAATTTGTTTTCAACCCATTTTTGCGCCCCCTTAAGGTCGGCGCCCGGGGGCCAAATCCCCCACCCCCTTCTACGCCTCTGATTATCACATAAACTATTATATTTATACCGAACCTCTACAGCTTTTTATGATTCAAAAAAATGTTCAGCCTCATTGGCCTATTTAATAATATAATTTATAATAATAAAAGGTTAGTAGCTTATTATTTTGCAATAAGGCCTAGATCTATATACTATATGAATATGTCATAGGAGTATAGGGTAGCGCGGTTATCGGCACTCTTACTCTTAGTCTTAAAGTACAGTCTAAAACAAATTTGGCATTTTTATCGATTATTATAGGCCTATTAATCCCATTTTTTTTTCTAAAATGGCGAATAATGTTTTGTTAAATATTACAGTGCTTAAAGCCGGCTATTCTTACCTTCTTGGTAAACTGGTTTAGGTTTGTCCATTATAATGCTTTTGTTAGTCTAAATTTCTAAATAGTCAACAACACAGAAATACGGCGTAGATAGTCTACCAGCTGTCAAATTTAGGTTACGGGAAATTCCAATGAGTAGGTCAAACAAAAGAAAACAAAATCGGGAAAACCTGATTTGTTCATTTGTTTTTTTTTAATCGCAAAAGTAGTTATAAAGAAATGTATATAGGCCTTTAATCAGCTGTCATTCGAATTTTGTGGTTGTTTTGTGTTGTTTAGTTTTTTTTGACGATTTTTACCTCCCCCCTCCCGTCCGTCACACATCGTCACAAAAAGCCAGACCCCTCTTAAAATGACGTCACACTTCAGCCTACAACCTCGTCTGAACTCTGTCAAAATAGAGTATTTTAATTAATTGTTATTACAATTTATTAAAAGAGTTTTCTAAAACGCAAAATAATGTCTAAAATTCGTTTTTTTTACATTGCTTTTTGATAATGCAAAAGTGTGACGTCGCACCATCTGAACCCCCCTTCTCCCCCTCATCACACACCGTCACAAAATTACGGACCCCCCTCCCCCCCTACGATTGTGACGTCATTTATGGACGACCCCCATAGGCCTAGATCCATTCTAGATCTTATCTTATACGAGTGCTCAGCATACTCCGCAAGTAGTTACCAAGTCGAACTAATATTATAAATATTATTATTATAATTGGAAAAAATGGAGCAGGCATAATAAACGAAAATGGCGAACTCTTTGCAATTTTTTTTTTGCATTTAATGGATGTCACCTGATGGTAAAATAGCCAAATAGATCGTATCTCTGTTTACAAAATGTGGAGAGGTTTATTGGATGCAGAGGCGTAGCGACCCTTCCCGGCGCCCGGGGACCAGAGGCGTAGCTAGGGGAGGGCGGGGAGGGCGGCCGCCCCGGGTGCCGACCCTAGGGGGGCGCCAAAAGGGGTAGAAAAAAAAATTAAAAGCTCATTTTAAGCTGCAGTTTTGAATTATAAACAGTCAAAGTAAAGAAATTTAACGGCGGGGAGCCTTTGCATACTGATTTAACTGTTTTCTACCTTGTTTGTGTAACTGTAAAACGTATATCTTTAAGAAACAGTGACCGGAAAAACCGCTTTCCAGCTTTACTAGATGGGGGGGGGGCGCTTTTTCGAAGACTAAAATCTGAAAAATTCACACCGGATTAAGGAATAAACCGATATAACCCAGAAAAGAAACACATTGAACTAAAGAGTATTTTACGATTGTGTAACATAACAAACATTTAGCAGACTGTCGGAGCGGGTGGATGGGAAGCGACACTCTTTGCCAAAATTTTAAGAGAGAAGAAAATTAGTATATTGTACAGATTATTATTTTGTTCAACCTAACTGATAATTCTAAATTACCGAACCCAAAAAGAAAAGCAGGCTGAAATCGGAGTCAATAGCCTCAATGGCGCATAACCAGTTGACACGTAACGCTTAATTGTGTTGGAGGCGTGGTCGAGTCGGCAAAAGCTCATGGTTGATAAATTCGAACAAAGTCTCGAGTTCAAACCCACTGGCAGATAAATCTCGATCCCATTCAACACTAATAATTAAGAACGAAGAAGAAGAAGAAAGACCGAACCCAACCAGTTTCGGGAACAGGGCATTTCCCCCTTGTCAATTACCCCCCGGACATTCCCCCCCCGACATTACCCCCCAGAGTAATTACCCCCCCCTGTCAATTACCCCCCTGTCAATTACCCCCCGCCCAGTAGGACATTACCTCCCGGACAGGGTTAGAGTTAGGGTTAGGGCTAGGTTTAAGGTTAGGGTTAGGTTTCTGGCTAGGGTTAGGGTTAGGGTTAGGGTTAGGGTTAGGGCTAGGGCTAGGGCTAGGGTTATGGTTATGGTTAGGGCTAGGGTTAGGGTTAGGGTTGGGGTTAGGGTTAGGGTTAGGGTTAGGGTTAGGGCTAGGATTAGGATTAGGGTTAGGGTTAGGGTTAGGGTTAGGGTTAGGGCTAGGATTAGGGCTAGGGTTAGGGTTAGGTTTTAGGGCTAGGGTTAGGGTTAGGGTTAGGGCTAGGGTTAGGGTTAAGATTAGGGTTAGGGCAAGGGTTAGGGTTAGAGCTAGTGTTATGGTTAGGGTTAGGGTTAGGACTAGGATTAGGGTTAGGGTTAGGGTTAATGTTAGGGTTAGGGTTAGGGCTAGGGCTAGGGCTAGGATTAGGGCTAGGGTTAGGGCTAGGATTAGGGCTAGGGCTAGGGTTAGGGTTAGGGCTAGGGTTAGGGTTAGGGTTAGGGTTAGGTTTTAGGGCTAGGGCTAGGGCTAGGGCTAGGGCTAGGGCTAGGGCTAGGGCTAGGGTTAGGGTTAGGGCTAGGGTTAAGATTAGGGTTAGGGCAAGGGTTAGGGTTAGAGCTAGGGTTAGGGTTAGGGTTGTGTCTAGCGTTGGTTTTGGTTTTGTGTGAAGTTTTAGGCTAAGGTGGGTGCTTAGGTTTTGGTCTTTTTCTTAAGGTTTGGATTAAAGTAGTATAAAGTAGTATAAAGTAGTATATAAAGTAGTATAAAGTAGTATAGTATAGAATTCTGTTAGAGTTAGGATTGAGAGTGGGGGGGGGGTAATTGACAGGGGGGTAATTGACAGGGGGGTAATTGACAGGGGGTAATTGCTCCGGGGGTAAATACGGGGGGGGGGAATTTCCGGGGAGGGGGAATTTCCAGGGGGGTAATGTCCTGTAGCCCCAGTTTCATATGCGCAATCACCGAACCCTCCTTAATAGTTGTATCGTCCACAATGACAAAATCCGATAGTGAATCCTATGAGTCGGGTGTGTGTCTTAACCAGTGTTTCTTCCAGACTTTTTTCTCCGGGGGGCACTTGAAATTTTCGGGGGGGGGGGGGCGGACACTGTTAAAGGTATATATTTTCTATATAAATTATATAAATTTCATTTCGTTCAGGGAAGAGATGCCTGGAAGAAACTCCGGTCTTGACATCCGCGGAAGCCCTGAGACTGAATTACCAAACCACTCGGGTTCGATGGATCCCACCCACTGTTCTAAGCTCTTTTGATTTTCTACCGGGGACAAACTTTTCGATTTGCACCCCCCCCCTTCAAACTTTCGATTTGCACCCCCTCAACATTTATTTTTCCAACCCATTTTGGCGCCCCCTAAGGTCGGCGCCCGCGGATATATGTCCCCCCCCCCCCCGCCCCCCCGCCCCCCCCCCTCTCTCTCGCTACGCTACTGATTGGATGTTATGGTGAGGCGAAGTACCGACTTAGTCTCAGATCAAATTGTGGCAACATATTAAAAACAAAACTAAAATCCTGTAAGGATCAAGCTGATAAACCCTACTTTAAATTCAATACATATCTATAGAGTCCAAAACTAAAAACAAAACTAAAATTCAATACATATTTAAAGAGTCCAAAAATAAATGGGAACTTTAACTGCGCAGCAAAAAGCAAGTATGAAACATTCTGCAGTCTGGTAGAAGAAACTGTAGAGCAACAGTGGCTAGCAATAGATGAATATTTATGGGAAAGAAAAAGAATGGATCACACCAGAGATATGGGAAAGATAGAGGGTATGTTTGTCCACTAAATGTTTGTCTCTCCGCAATCCGGCGTTCAGGGGCATGCTAGTTCCAGAAATTTTTTCAAATATTATTGGCTGGTTTTGGCTTACACAAGATATTAGCTGCAAACACCGACACCTTCACCTACACCAACACTTACGCCTACACCTACACCTACACCTACACCTACACCTACACCTACACCTACACCTACACCTACACCTACACCTACACCTACACCTACACCTACACCTACACCTACACCTACACCTACACCTACACCTACACCTACACCTACACCTACACCTACACCTACACCTACACCTACACCTACACCTGCACCTGCACCTGCACCTACACCTACACCTACACCTACACCTACACCTACACCTACACCTACACCTACACCTACACCTACACCTGCACCTGCACCTGCACCTCCACCTACACCTACACCTACACCTACACCTACACCTACACCTACTTCTACACCTACTTCTACACCTACTTCTACACCTACTTCTACACCTACTTCTACACCTACTTTTACGACTACGCATACACCTACACCTACACCCATAACCACAACCACACCCACCCTAAACCAATACCCACACCTGCACGCACACACACATGTACGCCTACATGCAGAGCAAAACAGACCCAGGTGAGGAGTGGGAGCATGACACGCCCCTTCTGTCAATGATTCCTCCCCCCCCTCCCTCTTCCCCGACTAAACCCCCTGTCAGTACTACCCCTCGCCAGTTAACTTGGCAACTATCCCCTAAATCAAACGGGTATAGGGACCCAGTAAATGTAAGAGCAAGGGTTAGGGATAGTGTTTGGTTTAGGGATTTAGTTAGTGATCGGTTAAGGATAGGGATTTGATTAGGGATACGATAAACTAACGGATAAGGCTTTAATATGGTTAGAGATTGATTTAAGGATAAGTTAGAGATAAGGGTAGGGATTGTAGTAAGGATAGTTTGAGGATAGTAAATAATCTGCACTGTACCGGTTTATCTCTATCGTAATTATAGGACAGTACTGGGGCAGTGCTAAATATGATTGTTTCTTATACTGTTTACAGTTTTCTCCCTTTACAAAGCTCTTGTATAATGTGTTCTCAATAGTGAGGTAAAAACCATTCGCTGTTATTCACTGGTGGTGGTGAATGGGTGGGAGGGAGGGGGGGGTGGTTTACCTGCGGATTATAGTACAGTATAGCACAGGGGTGGGGGCTAGTTGACCTGGGGATAGGGTGGTAGATAATTTATTGAATCCACAGCACAAAAGACACGCAGGCGCGCCTTGAGAGATCTATAGAGTGACACAAGAGAGATGGTTTATCTATGAGAACTGGGTTGTTGTTTTTTTTTACCTGTGTGAACAGTTAGAGACAATTTAGTTGCATGGACATGTGTGTGCACCCTATGGCTATGTGGGATGGCAAACCTATGTCCTAGTAGGACGCCAGGCCTATGTCCTAGTATGACGGCAGACCTATGTCCTATGTCCTTTAGGACGGCAGACCTATGTCCTAGTAGGATGCCAGACCTATGTCCTTTAGGACGGCAGACCTATGTCCTAGTAGGATGCCAGACCTATGTCCTAGTAGGACGCCAGCCCTATGTCCTAGTCGGAAGGTAGACTTATGTCCTAGTAGGACGCCAGGCCTATGTCCTACTAACGGCAGATCTGTGTCTTAGATAGAGCAGTTATTTGTCTTAGTCGGACTGGAAGCACACGTTGTAATAGGACGACAGCTCTATGTCCTAACGAGAATTTAGTTATATGTCCTAGTGGGACTATGCCTATGTCCTAAAGGCGGCATCTCTATGTCCTAACGATAATTTATAAGTCTTAGTTGGGGATGTATGTCCTGTTTAGAATGTCAGTATATATATATATATATATATATATATATATATATATATATATATATATATATATATATATATATATATAAATATATATATGTATGTATGTATGTATGTATATATATATATACATATACATATACATATATATATATATATATATATATATATATATATATATATATATATATATATATATATATATATATATATACATATATATATATATATGTATATATGATATTTGCATTTTGCCTATGCCCTATATTGGGGGGGGGGGGTAGTTTATTCTCATATTGAGAAATTTCTAAAGTGACACCTCTATGCCCTATCGAGAATTTACATGTACTAGCGGGGAGGGAGGCCTATGTCCTATTGAAAATTTAGGCATATGTCCTAGTGGGACTATGCCTATGTCCTAAAGGCGGCACCTCTATGTCCTATTGAGAATTTAGGATTATGTCAAAGTGGGGCTATGTCTATGTCCTGTGTCTGTGTCCTACTTGGAGGACAGCTGTATGTCCTATTAAGAATTTCGGTATTAGTCCTAGTGGGACTGTACCTATTTCCTAAAAGGGGCAACTATATGTCCTATTGAAAATGTAGGTAAGTGTTCGAGTGGGATGATGCATTTGTCCTAAACGCGGCAACTCCTTGTCCTATTTTGAATTCAGGTAAATGCCATGATGACTCTGTGCCTATTTCTTATAAGTGGGGGGGGGGGGAATAGCTGTTTGTCATGTTGAGAATTTAGGTATATGTTCTTGTGGGACTATGCCTATGTTCTAAGGGCGGCATCTCTATGTCCTATTGAGAATTTATATGTACTATTGGGAGGGAGGCTTATGTCCTATTGAGAATATTTATAGTGGGACTATACCTATGTCCTAAAGGGGCACCTTTATGTGCCTATTTCTTATTGGGTGGGGGGGGGGGGGGCAACTGTTTGTCCTATCGAGAATTTATATAAATTAGTGGGACTATGCATATGTCCTAAAGGGGGCAGCTCTATGTCCTATTGAGAATATATACGTCCTAGTGTGGGGGGGGGGGGAGAGATCTTTGTCCTATTTGGAATTTATATATATGTGCTATTGGCACTGTGCCAATGTCGTATTAGGCGACAACTATACTATTGAGAATTTAGGTATATGTCCTTGTGGGACTATGCTTATGTCCTAAGGGCGGCAGCTCTATGTCCTATTGAGAATAGATGTCCTAGTGGGGGAGGTATTGTCCTATTGCGAATTTAGTTTTATGTCATTTTGGCACTGTGCCTATATCCTATTAAAGGGGGGGGGGCAGCTTTTTGTCCTGTTGAGAATCTAGTTATATGTCCTAGTTAGACAATGCATATGCCCTAAAGGGGGCATCTCTCTGTCCTATTGAGTATTTAGGTATATGTCCTAGTGTAACAATACATACCCTAAAATGGGGCATATCTCTGTTCTATTGAGATTTTAGGTATAAGTCCTATAGAGACCGTGTCTATGTTATTGGGTAGGCAGCTTTATGTCCTCTTGAATAAAAAAAATTCTGAATAATTTAACCTATATTTTTCTATGTGGTTTAAAGTTTTTTTCTTTTGCCTACTCAGAGGACGCAAACAATTTAAAATAAATGTTTCCAGGCCATGAGAACTGTAATTAGGGATCTCTCACACAGATAGTCACGAGCTATTAAACAATACTTGACATGACAAGAACTGAATCGGACATTACAACATGGGACATAAAAAGTGTCGTGAGACGTCGAGTTTTAACTTCACATTCCAAATTGACAAAAGCACCAGCCTTGTAAATTTAGGGCGCCTTGTCACAAACAGATCACCAACGGGGTTGCCAGAACTATGCATAAAATTACCACCAAAATTATGTTAATGTTAAGGCGATCACTGGATCGTTTCTTTTGGCCAATCAAATTTAAGCATACACTGTGAGTTTCGGAACTTATGTAAGCTAGATGAGATTGTACAAATTAGATTCCAGCGGATTCTACAAGGATTAACATGAGTAAATAGGATTGTTTCCAAAACGTCGTGTTTTAAATTATAGTTACTGCTACAGGCAGCGACTTCATATAGATCAACATAACCCATGATACACTTGCAGACTGACCAGGAACAACCGAAAGAATTGATACTTTAAAGACGAATTTTTAACCGACAAATTTAACAGACATATTTTACAGACAAATTTTACAGACAAATTTTACAGACAAATTTTACAGACAAATTTTACAGACAAATTTTACAGACAAATTTTACAGACAAATTTTACAGACAAATTTTACAGACAAATTTTACAGACAAATTTTACAGACAAATTTTATAGACAAATTTAACAGACAAATTTTACAGACAAATTTTACAGACAAATTTTACAGACAAATTTTACAGACAAATTTTACAGACAAATTTTACAGACAAATTTTACAGACAAATTTTACAGACAAATTTTACAGACAAATTTTACAGACAAATTTTATAGACAAATTTTACAGACAAATTTTACAGACAAATTTTACAGACAAATTTTACAGACAAATTTTACAGACAAATTTTACAGACAAATTTTATAGACAAATTTAACAGACATACAGACATAAATAGCATTGGAGCAAGGTCACTAAAGTTGACTATGTTTGCAGACGTGCAAGCCGTGATGACGTCTGGTTGCCGCCTGGCCTTAATACTAACCCTTCTCTCAACTGTGCAAGCAGCTGATAATAAATGGAAGAACTCCACGGCCCCGGGTAAGTAAATTATATACTTTAAACATTCTATACATGAACAGTTGTGGTATTGGTGGCCTTTGACCTTTCTTGTCAACTTAGGTCCCAGGCTTTGTGCTTAGATTTCCAAAGCGCAATCACCAATGCTCTGTTAGACTATTTAGCCATACTATAATGTAACCTAGGTACCAGTGATGTAATTTCCGTTGACCGGAAATAGTAATTTACGCTATTTCTGATTTCTCAAAAAACGAAAATGAATTTATAAAGTTCTAATAATGTTCCGCACTATTATACACATATTGTTTGCCATTCACTTGGTGCGCAATGCTTTTTTTCTACGAGATTCTAATATATTTTTAAAAGTTTAAGAAATTAAAAATTGATTAAAAATCATGTCTATATCCCGCGTTGCTATCCCCCGTAGTGTTATATAAGAATATTCGAGAAAGTTTAGGGGAGATTACTCCGGTTTTTTCTAGTCACACAATAATTCATTATAGATACACACGTTTCAAGTTAAAAAATATTTTTATCAATAATAAGCAGAACTACGTACCTGTAATATTGTAAAGGATATTGTAATATTGATTTTTTTAACTATTCATTTTCAATGTCCCAGTTGTTCTTAACCACCTAGCACTAAGAGCCAGTTTCACAACTATTAGTTACAATAAAATTCCTACTAACTGGTTATTAATATTCTGTTAATTGAATAACATATTGTTCCAGGCACTACCAAAATCGGACTATTCTCGGAACATTGGGCAGACTTTGAAAAAAGATGGTTGTACAATTTCACAGAACCCTTCTTTAACCGTGTCCTTGAACCATTGGCCAACTCCAGTCCTTTCCTGAACGGTACAGTTTTGTTCATATATTGTGTTCATTTAATATTTGCCCACACAAAGTCTAATGCAACCATTTCCTACCTGAACGGTACAATTTTATTCATATATTGTGTTCATGAAATATTTACCCACACAAAGTTTAATGCAACCATTTCCTTCCTAAACGGTTCAATTTTGTTCATATATTGTGTTCATGAAATGCGTACCCATACAAAGTCTAATTCAAGCATTCACGTAAATTACTCTCAGAAAAAAGCCATCAATTACATGTAGGCCTATGTGACAATGTATTCAAATGTTTAATTACATGCACTGACATAGTACATACATATATATATATATATATATATATATATATATATATATATATATATATATATATATATATATATACACACACATAGATTAGTAGGTTAGGTGGCAGAATTTTTATATAGAAGTTTATGAGGAAGCATTGAAATAGAGAGAAGCATGCTTCTTAGACTTTCGATTTTTTAAAACATCCTAAAGACCTTATCGTTAAAGTTTCATGCGTTTAACGTACATCAAAATGAGCGTAATTAAATCCTTTATCGATCGGTATTAGTTTTAACGTATGGCAAAATTTATACGGACAATAAACTTTTAAAAACCTCAAGCTCATTACAGCCGACAAGTTGATTTTTCGATTATTTCCCTTGGTTTAATTTCTACCGTAGAAACAATACTTCGCTATGCGCTCAAAAATCAACGCGCCTATATAGACAAAACGTTTCTCTTTTCGGCAGACCATGCTTGTTTAATGTTTTAATAAAGATTTAATGTGAACAAGCATACAATCCTCAGCAGTATTTTAAAGACCCTAGATGAACTTAAAAAAGTGTAGTGCATCATTTAAATTAACTATAGCCAATGTGTAAACGTACTTGTAGATTTAGGTGTAAGGCTTGGTGAATATTCAGGTGAGATTGTAAATGTTGGAAATAGTGAAAACAAAGATGTAATTGATAGTGTTTTGGTAGCTGTAAAGCTGTGAGTGTAAGTGTAGGGGTCGATGTATGGGTATTAAGTAATGCGATAAGTATGCGTGTGGGTGCGGGAAAGTCGCGGATTTGTGTGTATTTTTTATGAACTTAAAATTGTATTGAATTTCCGTATGTCTATTACATAAGGTAAAAACGAATTGTAAAAAAAGATGTAAACGAAAGTTGACGAAATAATGTGTGTACTTAAAATGTAGGTGATGGTGTGGGTAGATGGTGAGTTGTACACATAATGCGATAAGTGTGCGGACGGGGGGTGAGGGAAAAGTCACGTAGTTGATAGTTGTGTGTATTTATTATAAACGTTACTATATTATATTATTTCCATATGTATATTATATGAAGGTTAGATAAAAGCGATAAGTATGCGTGGGGATGCGGGAAAGTCTCAAAGTCGTACGTATTTAACTGTATTAAATTATGTCCGTATATATAAAACATCAAAAGTCTTTAAAAATATATTAAATGAGTTTAAAGAACCCACATAAATAGAAGTGTCACGCTTAAAATATAGATCGATATTTTAGTATCTAAGAGAGTATGTTTGATAATATAGGTACCAATGATACTTATGTCCATACTATTTGTTTGATCACATTTATACATCAGGAGGTTATTTTGTTTTACATAGGGGTAAAAAGTTATTTCATTTTCATGCGTGTTTAAAGGGGGTGGGTTATAGAGCGATGATAATTTCGACGTTTATCGCAAAATATGGAAAATTTAGGTGGGGTGAATTGGTAAGGTTAACATTATGGGGTGATATTTTAAAATGAAGAATTTTAATATAATCTACACAAAAGACCGCTCCTATACACATGCGACTATATTTTTTTCAAAATCTATTTAAAGCTTTACTTACCAAAAGGGTGTAGGCGGCTGCGAGTATCCGTACCACATTATCCTCTTGTATCCCAAGGTAATTGAAACATATGTATTATTTAGTACGTCCTATGTGTTTAAACATAAACACACACGGAAATGAAGATGTGAGTCCGAATAACTTTAATTCAATTCATTTGAACACTAACACTGATTACCTCAATGAAAGAAATGGCCAAGGTGAATTACTTAAACTGCCCAAATAATATTCATTTAAGAGCACGAACTTTTATCACAGCACTTAAACAAAATATCCGGAAAACAGGGTCCAACGTATACAATCATGTGGTTTTAAATTAAGCCATATGATTGGTCACTATAAAAAGACCAATCTTTAAAATGAAGGCACCATTAGTTATGTTTAAAACCAATGGATAGTTCGTTTTTTTCTCAATATGGGTGGAGCTTCCAATTTTGACTGAAATGGTAGAACCCGATCGCAAAAATAGCCCGCGCATTACCTGTTCAACACAAGTCCAATTGGTCGCCTTTCATCTTCGCACCTTTTTCGTCATACACCCCCCCCCCCCGCACAGAGGGCATCCTTTATGAAATTTCGCTAGACGCTTGTCTCTGACTTACATAACATTAGTCTGATATGCTCCAGCAGGTTACACGCTTTGTTTTTAAATCTTGAGTTCAAGGACAGATCCGGGTAGGGGTTGGGGAAAGGAGGGGTGGGGGTTATCTTACTTAACGAGATACTGATAGTGTTTTAAAACAAATATATTCAGTGGCAGCATTGGTACAGTCGAATTCGCAAATTATAAATTACTGAAATGTAGAAAATAAAACAAATAAATAGCGGCGTATGATACGCGTATGGTCAGCTCGTATATATAATTCTCTTCGTAGAGACATTAAAAAACATCACGCAGCTTAGCCACCACCCTCATCCCCAACTGTCAGGTGAGCTGTGGTTCACCCCGAATGTTTACAATAGAAGTGACGGCAATAAGGGGCAGATAAATCAGTTTTTAAACAACGTGAAACTAAGAGGTGGTAATTATAAATTAAGCTTGATCTTTTCATTGTCAACTGTAAACTGTCGTCACGGTCGGCTGCTTTCACCAGGGGGAGGGAGAGGGAGGACAATTGTCCTCAACGTGCTACTGATAGGGTTTTAAACCAAAATATTTACAGTCGCAGCAAGGTCAACAGAATATATCACCACCAGCCCCACCCCCACCAGTCTGGTGAGCTCTTTCCAATCGTAGTGACGGCTAGTAAGGGCAGATAATTCATTTTTTTTAAAGATTTGAAACTAAGGGGAGATAATAAATATTCTGCTTGCTCTTTTCATTTTCGGCTGCTTTCACAGGGGGGGGGGGGGGGGGGGGGGGAGAGACTGAGGATTGGAAAGTGAGGGTGACGATAATTGTCCTTCACTAGCTACTAATAGTGTTTTTAAGCAAAATATTTTCAGTCGCAGCTTTGGTAGTTTCGTATTTACAAATTATGAATAACTGAATAATAGGAATTAAGCTAAAAAGCGGTGTATGCTATGTCGCGGGTCAGCTCGTGTTTTATAAATATCATATACCATACAGTGTTTTATACGTAGTCAATGTGACTTGCTGCCCTCATCTCATCACAACAATAGGTACTGCCCACATTTAGCACGCACATTACATCCATTTATAGTTTAGAAGACCTGGCGAAGCACATATGTCCTCAGTCGGCCTTGTCCGAACATATTGTGTGTTGTTGGCGTTTGGTGTCAATGACAGCCTTTAAATTTTCTCGGCTTTCTGTTTTGATCCGACGCTTTGTTATGTAATGAGCGTGAGAAATGTGGGCAGTAAAGGTGGTTGAACTAATTATAACTATTATTGCGATGAGTTGAGGGCAGCAAGTCAGATGAACTTGTAACATTCTAATAAACGCCATTAATATTATGTTTAAAATAATTACAATCTACATACTTCATACTAAATATTTTCAGCTGAATTATAAAAATTACCATGCGTATGTAACCTACACATATTAAATTGCATTTTATTAATCATAATGGCCGAGTTGGAGTTGTGGGGTAGAATAGATTTGTCTTCAAAAATTGTTTATGGTTGAAAGCAAACTGGCTTCAAGCGAAAAAATTATAGCGTTAAGTAGCTCGTTAAGGATTACCCTCCCTCCCCCTCGTGAAAGCAGACGTTTTTTAACTTTATTTCATTTTATCATATTCTATCCTGTGATCCACCATTACAGAAAAAGATTTGATACATTTAATGTTACGAGCGTTAGTCGTAACAACTTCTATGTTTCTACATCCTAAAACAGCAACATGTCTTTAATTCAACACATTGTGTATTGGTTGAAAATGTTTAATACAACCGCGGTGCTGGGGCTGGGTTGGAAGGGGGGGGGGCTAGGTTGACGGTGCTGTCTCTTTTCTCTAAACTAAAACCACCCCCCCCCCACACACACACACACTACAAAACATGTCTACCGTCACATTCAACGAAATATAATTATATACTTTTTCCAGTGTCCGCCCCCTTCCCGAAAATTCTACCCCCGCCCCCGAAAATTTCAAGTATCCCCACCCCTGTCCGTGGAGGAAAAAGTCTGAAAGAAACACTGGTGTCGCGCTTAGCCACTACCCGAAGAATTGCATGAAAGAAACCACTTTTTACATTAGACACATTAATTAGACATTTATTTTATTATAGAGTATCGATGAAGAAATTTGTTTTGAGTTGGGGAGGGGGGGGGGGGCTCAGACGTTCTTACGAGTGGTATGGGCTTCGCCCCTACCCAAAGAATTGTATGAATGAATCTCTTCACGCAAACAACTTTTTAGCATTAACACATTAATTAGGCTGAAATTTTATTATAGAGTATCGATGACGACATTTTTTTAGTTGGTGGGGGGGGGGGGGGTCGGCTTAGACGTTCTTACGGGGGGGATGGGCTTCGCTCCTACCCGAAGAATTGTATGAAAGAAACTCTTCACGCAAACCACTTAGATTAGACAAAATTGTCTTTTTAATTCAATGTTTACTCGAGAATCAATGACGTCATATTACTGTGTGCACTCTCCGGCTTGATAATATTTTTTACTACATGCTCAATATGACGTCATATTTCGTTTTCGTATTACTAT